AAAAAAAAAAAAAAAAAAAAAAAAATGAGTGAATTATTCATGACCTATGTCATGTATAGATGGGAAAACGCCAGCCCACAAATGCCCGAAAATCAAAGTACCAAACCGAACATATTGAATTTTTTCTTGTCAAAAAATTGCTCCTATTCTTACCGCATATTTCTTTATAACTTCGATAAAACTGCTACCCAGCTTAAATTTGACTGTATGAATTTTACACCTGAATTGAGCGACAGGATCTCATAAACAATAGGAGGGGATCACCCTGAATATAATTCTCACGAAAGGGAAATATTTATTCTATCTTGTTATTTGAATACAAATTTTCCCGCCATCGCCACTAACTTACTTCAATCACAACTATGTGGTACAAGCAGCAGGTTGTGGGTTCTGTTAAACTCAGCCCATATAGTCTACCTGAAGAGTTTCTACAAACTTACTTCTGTTATGGTTCATGTAACTACAACAACTGGATGCAGTTCAAAGTTACCCACTTCCCTCTAATGTTGGCTTCATTGCTCTAACTGCAACAAATTTTTATTGAATTAATTCCTTTCAATGACCCATAATACAAAATCTAACTGATATCTGTTAAGTTAGCTTTGTATCTTAAAAGTCCTGTTAGTCCGCTTTCCCTGATTGTTTCAGTTCTGCAACATATCGAAACCTAAATCAGTTGTCATGTTCCCAAAACAAATCTGGAAAATTCTCAACCTCAATTTAGGACTCAGTATCCGTTGTTTAAATGTTATGAAATAAATCAGATTGGGTTAATTTCGACTCCATTAAAAAATACATATTCATAGTAATCTTGTAATGTCTGAAATCACAAATAAGTCGAGTTTTCAACTAAAGTAAGCTGACAGAATTCCATTAACAGCAAGACTAATGTACTAAGCAAATTAACAACAAATCAGTATGATGACAACAAATACGAATAATTCACTGAAGGAATGTACATTAATCACATCTCTCCCTCAGATTCATGCCCAAAAATCGTTAGCAGACTACAGAATTGTAATACACAATATCAATATGTAGGTGGTAATTATCCGCATAATAAGCTAAGGAATAACTTGATCCAAATTTAACATGTCACAAACATCAAGAAAATGCCATCAAGAAAATACTTCGAAGTAGTTAAATATCATCAAGCACATGTTGAAGGCATGCAAGAGATACACATACTACTGTCACTGATGACATGTAAAAGAAATAGTTTAACTACTTACACATTTGTGAAAGCAAATATAGTTGAGGACGGCCGGTAATGACTCAAAGTTATGGCCATGGACCCTGTTCTTGTGAAAACTATGATGGGAGTCGCCAGAGTGTTTGCCATTGTGGTGGCATGGAAAGCAAACATTTCACCCATATGGCTCTGCTGAATAATTCAGTATTCAATTTTAGTAAGTGGGACGATAACTGATGGAGAGAGTCATAAACCAATTTGAAATGGAGATGAGGAAAAGGAAGTGTCAAGATGAAGGCCAAGCACATAAGGAAATTCTTAACCCCAAAGAGGGAGAAAGAAAGAAAAAGAAACAATAGTATTGACAACAAAAGGAAATGAAGGAATGGCGATGGACGTGAGAGAAGAAAATGTACCGAACAATCCCATGATACTCACGTAATATTTATAATAATTTTCATATGGACGCACCTTAAAAGCAGGTGATGGACCTGGTGAACTGATGGCTATCAGTAGGCTGGACTCAGTCCTTAATGCCACAGTATGCATCACTTTAACTGCCTTCAATGGAAATCTAATGGATAACAAAAAATAAAAAAGAAGATGATTATTCTATCATCTTAGATTATACCACTCTGCGAAGAAAGCACAAACAGAAATTATCGGAACTCAAATAGTGAACAATAATGTGACCCATTAGTGAGACATTGAAGTGAGATGATGGTATTCATGTTCAAGGTCAATTGTTCATACAACTAAAGCTCAAGACTAACATTTAGTCATAGAGAGTCACTTAAACAAACAATGCCCAAATGCTGGCCAAAAAGCATATATTATCTTCACAATCAACAATAGTGTATCTCATTAGCTAAAGATCGATAGTTTCCAGCAAGTGAGCACTTCAGTTGGACAGCACTTCAGTTGGACAGTTCCAGTGAGAATAACTGCTTGTGGCCATTAATTAATAATTACTATGAAAAGGTACAGAGAAAATTTTTAATTTGATAATAGGAAGAAAGAGTGTAACAGGTAAAACACAACATATCACGAGTTGCAGACCAAGTGGTAACCAGCACCCTTTTGGAAAAGTTCTAATGAGCAAATCAGGCTCTGTATCCCACGTCTTAAAATTTCTATTCTATTTATGCCCTCAGCTTCCAATCGCTCTTCCCAGTTAATTAAAGAAGGAAAAAGAGAAAGTAAAACACCAATAAAAGGATACACATACAGTATATATACACTCTAGGAAAAGATAACTCACTTCCCATGAGCCGTTTCCCCCGATAGCATTATTGCATCAGAACCTTCTCGTACTGCAATCGCAATGTCAGACACTTCAGCCCTTGTTGGAGTTGGGTGATTAATCATACTCTCCAACATGTTGGTGGCCACTATAACAGGTTTTTTCATGCTTCTACATCTTCTTATGATATCTTCCTGTGTACAAAGTAAAACAACCCTAAATTCTCACCATGTTTGCCCAACAAAGTTTACAATGAAAACTAAACTCATTGTTTCTTCAACAAATTAGAATACAATATATCATGAAGGTAGGAATCACTATAATCTAACAAATGAATATGTCATAAACTGTTAGCTATGGTGAATTTAGTATATGTAAAGGTAAAAATGCTGAGCAATGTCAATTTATAGCGTGAAATTGCGTTGACCCATATCAGTTCACAGTTTCAATAAATATAATTCTTGAAACACTACAAACAATATTTTTTTTTTTCAAAACTAGGGTCATATGTAAAATGCTCCAAATTTAAATATATTTTGTTTGATAGTTAAAAGAACTCATCATTTTTACCAAATCAAACTCAAGAATGTGGGCCTACTTGATATAACGGATACAATGTTAAAACTTATTACTTTGGCAGGAACTCAAATAAATCCAAATTAGTACAAAATGGATATTTTTTCACACGTAAAAGTTGGCCGGAGTGACTAATCCCTTCGTTCACCGACTTCTAAATCATTAATAGACATGCTTGCCAAATTACCAGCACAAGATATGCACAAAATGTGTACTTACTCTTGGCTAACATTGAGTACCTGTAACAAAGGGACTTCTTCAATCGGGAGTTCAGCTCCGAGGTCACCACGAGCTACCATTGCCTATCACATTCAGTGGTTGAGGAGTTAAAAATACACTATTATACAATACGAAATAATTTTGATTCAGGACAAGTAAAGCATGAAGGAAAGGAGACAAGAACATGTGCACATAGTTTGCATGACTTGAGTTTATTTCAAGTGATTGCAGCGAAATTAAGTCTTTTCCTTAGAGTAGCAAAGGATCATTTTCCATTTAAAGAGAAAGAAAGTCCTAAACACTTACTAGGTTGATGTCATATCTTTCCAAAAATTTGTTTATCTAAAGGAATTATGAACATTTAAGAAAAAAACATTGATGTCATGCACTGCATTTCTTTTTTCAAACTTACAGAAGATAGCCTTGTACAACAGAGTAAGAATGCAATTCAATACTCTCACTCAAGAGAAGTTCTGTCATGTTTTTTTTTTAAAAAAAAAAAAATACATTTTACACTATTCACACTTTCGTTCTTTCTTTCACCAATCATTTTGACACTTTTTTTTTTTTTAAATAAAACTGCCCAATCACTAGTCATTAATAAACACTTTTCTGTAAATACTATCATCTCCTTACATAACTCTCAAGTCTCTAACTACAAATATTTTACAACCATTACTTTACTATATTTATATTGAACCACTATAATCATTACACTTCTATTTCATTGTCATTCATATTCTCAAAAAATTCTTTCGTCTTAGCAAAGTATTTTAAATGGATATGTATCCAACTCCCCCACTTGTTTGGATAAGTTTACATATGCATCATTGAATTTAATCTAATGTATAATGCATTAACAAACTGATAACCATGCCTACAAACCTACGCAAGGAAATACATTATTATATTTATTTATTTATTATATTTAGTAATTTTGTAATTTTGTTAATACATTATTAAAATTTTGGAAAAAATTTATTATACATGATTTTTTATTTCTTTTAGTTTTTTCTATATCAAAGGTATTTTATTTTATGTACTTATATTATATTTGTATTGGTAAATTTTATTATATTTTATTTTTTCTATCATCTGCCACAATATTTTCATATGTTTGAATTCTTACCCTTCTTATTAGTTTTTGTATCAACCAACACTAGAGCTCCACTTATCTTCCCTCTCTCTTGCATTCAATTTTTATCTTTTTAATTGTTCATTTCTTCCATTTTAAAATCTTAAATTTGGAGTTTAGTAGTTCAGGGTAGAGTGAAGGAGAAAAGATAACGTGAACTAAACAAGGTTACAAGCGTAAAACCTAAACTGTGAATGCATGCATAATTGGTACCAATTAGACTTGTGTTACTTTGGAGTTTACAGTTTTACCTAAAGACTCTTACCAATGTTACATGAATATTGAATTTTTAGTAGCCTGTTTATCACATCATATGTGTCACAAAGAGTTGTTGCAAAGAACTGTAGAAAACCAGAAGCTGTTAATCTGTAGGGGGTGAATGGATGTAAGTTATTTTGGTTTTGATTGGATTTGTTGGTTAACCAGAGTTGATTTCGAAAAAGTTGATTGAGTTGGGTTTAAGTGGGATTTTGAGTTTGTATTAAAATATAATGATTAAAGTTGATATAATGTAAAAGTAGGAGAGAGGTGATTGGAAGTACTGAGAAATTAAAATTATGTGCGGGGATGAATACTGAATTAAAGGTGATGTGATGTGTGAGGATAATTGATTGGTATTATTTAATTATATTGATAATACTGAGAGTTGAGTTGAGCTAAATTTGAGTTAGACTTTAAGTTAAAAAGATTATCAAGAAAAAAATGATCAGATATCTTATAAACAATTATAAACAATCAGGCCTTAAATCTTTAACAATTTTTTGGTACACAACTGAATGTTTTTTAAAGTAAATATTTTCCGCTAAGAAGTGTTGAAGCGGACAACTAATATAAGAACTGGAATTATATATACTAACCCCGTCAGATGCTGAAATGATAGAGTGAAGATTGGGTATAGAATCAGCACTTTCAATCTTTACAATCACATGGATATCTGCATTGCACCCTGCAGAATATATCTCCGAACTCTAGTGATGAAGATCAAACAGACACAGGAGAAGGCACTACAAGGCCAAATAATCAAATAGCTTACTTTTGAGATAATCTTTCAATTCATGGACCACCTTAGCATCCTTTACAAAAGAAACGGCATAGAAATCGACTTGGTTATCCACGCCAAACTTAATATCTTCCCAATCTTTGTCTGTCGAGACAGCAAGTGCAACGCCATAGTAAAACTAAACTATTATGATTGTTGAAAGCAGAATAACATTAGCTTCAAATATTAGAGCTTTTAAAGTCAAGTAACCTGTTATAGAGGGCAGTGTTGCACTTTTCCCACGAACATTGAGATGCCGCCTAGACTTCAGTTCACCGCCATCAACTACTTTGCATTTTACCAAATTCGTTGTTTTTGATATCACAGCTAATGACATCATTCCACCTATAAAAGAGGAACATCCAATCTTTATCCAATCTTTTCAGTACAGTGATTTTCTTTAACAACCGAAGAAGCTCAGAATAATTGCATTGAAACTCACATAGAAACAAGCATTGTATTTCACCTAAAAACATCAGTACTATTATAACTGAAGAATTAGGTTAGATGCAGTCAATTTATAAATGCATTCCCTTTGACAAATGTCCAATCACAAAATAAATTAGGAATGATCAGTTCCACTAATGCATGAACTAAAAATTACCAAAGCACCCTTTATGTTTTATCTTGAGTAGTGCCATCAGAATGCTCGAAAAGACTACGAAAGTGAATAAGAAGATCCTAATAACTTCTAGCCCGATGTAGCCCAATGCCTGCATGTCTAAAGCACAGGTAGGATGCACCCAAGCGCAAGACATTGGATAAGATTTTACTCACCATCAACCAGTATAATGTCCCCAACCTCAACATCATTTATGAAGTCATCATAGTTAACACTCACAGTGTCCACTGTACTAACTCCTCTTTCAATGGTGAAATTGAACTCTTGTCCTTCCTTGAGAAGGATTGACTGTGGTACGTCTCCACTTCTAACCTCAGGACCCTGTATAAAAGTACTTATAACTTGTGAATCCAAACATAACTGGAATGGATATTGCTATAAACAGTTCTACAAAATAGGAGCCTTATCAGTTGTTCTCGACAGATACTAAACAGAATAATGGAATACTTTGCAGCAAATGATTCAATGTCCAATTCTATACTAAATTTCAGAAATATCTCGATTAGCAGAGCATTAACAGTTAATGTATGAGAAATGCATGAAGATGCAACAAATAATCAAAATCCAGTTCAAAGTAAATTTCTCTCGTGAAAAAGGAAAAGAAAAGATGCATACAACGGATGTAATCACATTTAGACACCGGTATAGATGAATTTGTCTTTTATGTGACTGTAACTAAGTGGATTCCTCCATAAGCTGATAGAGTTGAGCCATCAAGAAAGGTACCTTGGTATCTAACATTATGGCAACAACCTTCTCCTCAAATTGCGAATTGTATTCTTTGACCAGATCTATGGTTTTCTGGTGTGATGCATGATCACCGTGGGACATATTTAAACGTGCCACATTCATTCCAGCTTCCGCCAGTTTCCAGATCATATCGCGCGAACTGGTAGAAGGTCCAATAGTACAAACTATTTTTGTTTTTCGTAGAGAATTTACAGAAGTCTCTGTCAACCTTAATCCTTCATCTCCAGACTGAAATTCAAGTAAATATCTCAATAAATTTCAATGCCATACATATATGTCTACGTGTACTGCATATATAGCTCATCGAATCTAATAATAAAGGCATACAGTGATAGACAAACTAAAGAGATAATAAAATAACCACTAACAATTCACTGTGTTGTTAACAACAGAAATTATATCTGAACGGCCAATACAAGAGACATAGACCTGCATTTTGCTTCATTTTCAAAAAGAGGAGAATGTTATCAATCAGATGTAAGATAGTTTTTTTGTTTCTACTTTTTCTTCAAAAGGAAGAAGAAACAAAGAGATACCACACGATGTTTTAATGTTTCTACTTCTTCAAAGAAAGACGAAACAAAGACATGCCCCCATGACTGTGGAAGAATAGATCATGTTATTAACAGGACAAAATACTAACACGACTCTCGTACTTATGCTATAAAGTTTAGAGGTATCAATTGCCGATCTCTACTTCATCACTGATTTGAGATAGATCAACCATTTAATTATATTCATCGGGTTCAGACATTTGATCATGCATGTTAGAATGACACATAAATGGGTGTCAAGAGATTTCATAGATGAAACTACTCTAAGCCACAAGTCTTACGATAATCAAGAAAAGCATCGCAAGGTGCAAATTAGCATCTCCATCTCTCTTCTCTCTCATTTCTGGAAATCACCAATAAATAACTTATTCAATAAAGTCTACCGGAATATGAATTAAAATGATTCATAAAACTATTATCGGCAACGAACAACAAGCTTTGATCAGACATAGCAGTCATCATTGAACACTCTTAAATATTAGAAAACTGATTTGAGCTTTAGTCAACAACCCCCAAACTCTTCATTTTCTCCTGATTTGAGCTTTGCGAGATAGAAACAAATAAACTCAGAAACAGGAAACTTACAGAGACAAGCGAGCCATTCGGCGAAAACGTAGTAGCCATGGCATTAGAAGAATCCATGCTGTTTGTGATCTTGGTGGATATATAACCGCAAGCTTTTCGATTTGGGATCCACGATTCGTACGGCAAGAACAGACCGCCGATCTTCCTGGCGGAGGACATACGATGGAATTGAGAACTCAAAGGAGACATTCGAGCCGCTGGCAGGTTTAGGGTCGCCGCCATTAGAGAGTGCAAAATTTTGCGATGCGAGACTGGAGTTGAAGCAGTTGAAAAAAAATATATATATATATTTTATTTATTTATTCATTCTAATTTTAGAATAAATTAGATGGTTCCAAACCTGCCACGTGTACGCAACAGAATAAATTTGGAGGGGACAAATTTTCTTTACAACTGGCCTCCCTCCGGTTAGGGTTCATCGGAGTACCAAGCAATCTTTTAAGAATGGCTGTAGATGTAGCGATCCCGGAAGAAAACGTAGAAACAGCCGAGGAGCGAGGCGACGGCCGGCAACCATTTCTGGATGCACTAGAGGAAGTGGTACAAGCAGAAGACGGTCTTTTGTTTTCACCAGGTCCTGATTTCGCCTTAGCTTGCTCCTGCGACGAGTGCCGTCACAAAATCACAGAGCTCGAGGAGTTTGAGGAAGATATCAAGTCTACAAAAGAACTTGTCTTGGTGGGTAGTACACAATCAATCAATCAATCCATCAATGGCAAACGTTCTAGGTTCTTCAATTACTTTATCTATTTATTATAATGTTTTTCTTCATTGAATTTGTGAGTAGAATTACCTTGGCCAACTGGGAAGGGATGAATCACTCTGTCTGATCCTTGTGTCCAGCGCACAGTGGACAATAGATATCCTTGATTTGCTTCTCCAACAACTCGAAGCATTATCTGAGGTAGTACTAATCTGTGTCTTTCTCCCCTTATTCATCGTCTTTTTCGTGTAAAGATAACATTTTTAATTATATTGAATTTCAGAAGACAGTTCAGCTTCCACTTAAGATAGAAGACCCCGAATATCCCAAAATGCGTGTTGTCTATTTAGAAATGGCGCAGATGCTAAAAGACAATGGGTTGATCGATAGCACAGAGCCTCCTGAATGTGATCCAGAAGCTTGTGCTGTCCCTATTGCTTATAGAATCGATGCTGGGGTAAGATAATTGGTTAGGAAGTCATTTTTTATTGCTTTCAGAATGAATAAAACAATTCTATTCAATAGTTTGATTTTATACGTTAATTTGTTAGGGACCTATTGTTAATGGTTGTTCATCCTCTTGACAGATTTATTATTATAAGCAAACTAAAGCCAACATTAAGGCTTTTGATCTCCTCCAAAGTTTTGCTGAGATCGAGCAGAAAAAAGTAGCTGAGGAAAAAATGCTTGACGCCGCAATTTATAAAGGTTTGATCCAACGCCAGATTGAGGTAACCGTATCTATAACTCTAATAAAGATATGTACCATAGTTTGAGCTAGAGCTGCAAACGAGCCTCGTCGAGCATTGGCCTTATCGAGCAGGATTGAATATTTTCTTAGCTACTCGAGCTCGACTTGATAAAATATTACAATGAGCTCGAGGTCGACTCGAAATCAAAATGCTCGAGCTCGGCTCGAAAATGTTAAAGTGGAAAGGTAAATGAGCCGCTCAATTCGTTTACAGCCCTAAGCCTTTTGTGTTTCTTCTTCCTTTTTTTATGCATCTCTAATTGCGCCTGTTTTTATGTACATAAATTATCATAGTTGATAAAACAACTTCCAATGGAGGAACTGTACTTTGAAGCAGAAGAGCTCATTCCTAAAGTATGCCCGGTTGACGAGAATAGACGAATGGTGAGAGATGCAACGGTGTATATGGCCAAGACTAATCGTGCTATCATTAGAAAAAGAAAGAGTTTCTGGTGCCAATTTCAAGCGGTATACTTTGTTGTTTTGATGCTTAATTATGTATTGTTTTAGTTGGCTTTTTGTTGAGCTTAAAACCCCTTCGTCAATTTTTATCAGCATCATTCCTCGCAGGACGTGGCGGGTAATAAACACAATGGATTGGACAAGACACTCAACTTATTGCTCACCATGGTAGGTTGAATTCTGATGTTTTAAGCTTTTAAATTAGTTCTTTCAATTTTTTTATTTATTTTTTTTATTTTTTTAATTGGCCTTAATGATCAGGTTGATGTGTTCAAAAGTCATTGGGATGGAGAGTATGACCCATTCTTTGCTCGGTTTGGTCGATCAGACCGTAAAAGGAAACGAAACTGTTGGTAGCTAGTTGTAAGGGAAAAAAAGGAAGATGAGATTATTTGGTTTTTGCATGTATTTACTAGCAGGCAGCTATTTCGTTGTCGTATGGTTGAAGTTGTGATATATTATGTACTTATGTGGAGTTGACGAGTTTTGTTGAATTGGGCATTGCATGTCTTGTATTAACAATCTATATGCCGATTGCTGATTGGGTGAAGATGAACTTGAGAACATTGAGTGTGTAATGATGTCTTGCAACCCCGACCCGCCCTCTCCCTACTTGACCCAAAAACTGTCGAGCGAGCTGCCGAATAAAAAAGCACGCCTCCAGCTCTTCGTCGAAATTTCGCAGTCGCCTACAGCTGTTTGTCTGAAGATATCCATTAGACTAGCGCTCTGCCCGTTCTCTTTTATTGTTCAGACACCTTCTGACCAAAATGCCAGTCGTCTTCTCCAGCAAGTGGTGTGGCTAGCCTTATGCAACTCCGGTCAACAGCCTCACCAATCTGGTCGTTCTTAAGCCGCAAGTTTCAGGCCACGCCATGCCATTGTCGGTCGTCCTTACCAATCCACGAAGCTGCCCGACAATGTTCGTGAGTCATCTTTTCTGCCAAAAGCTACCGAGCGCCGAAATTCCAGCTGAAACTTCACGTTCGCCAGCCTCAGCGCGTTAATTGTCTTGTCATTCATCCTAGTCTGATTTCTCTCAGCCCCCTAGAGCACAACAACATGAGCGCGAGATTGCATCTACGTAAAATTTTGCAATGATGACATGGAAGTCGATTTGGAGTTATTGTGCTAGTTTTAATGGCATGAGTTAATTTTATTTGCTTAAACTCATAAGGTGTTTTTATTTTGGGGAAATGCATGATTGTTGATATTTTTGTGATTTATTTGCGGTGAGTTGGTTTTAAGACGATTTATATTGTTGAGATGTACTTGTGATTGTCTTAACCAATGATGATTAAGTTTGGGGAATTGAAGTTGAAAGTTGGAGTTTTTATGTCTCATAATTGGAAAAGGCGATTTGGCACAAAAAAAAAACGAAAAAAAAAATAAAAAAACAATAGAGTCATAGGCTGCAACAACTGCTAATTCGTGGGGACTCTAGTGCATAAATCCAATAATCTCATATCTAGATGAGCAAAAAAAGCTAACACACACGGGTTGTGACGGCGTTGTCGTTCCCTACTTCACAAAGAATAGAAAAAAGAAGAGAAAGACTTCGGCTAGAAACGGAAAAACTAGAGCTGTTATCAAAGAGATGAGTGTCATTAGTTGCATTGATCGATGCATTCATTATAAAGATCAACAAATTATGGTGGTCACTTGGATTGATACTTGATATTCTTCCTTTCTTATAATAATTTCGTGAGTCAAGATAAATTAATTTGAGTTGTTTAAACTATGTATTTATGTGATTAGTGTGAGGCTTTATGCAAATATTCTATGTACTTGTTTATATCCATATATGTAGGGCTGCTCGTTCGGTCAAAATCGAACTGAACTTTGTCCATTATCATAACCGAGACCAAATCATAATTTGCGGTTGGATTCGGTTTCTAACCAAAAATCCAGCGGTCTGTTCGGTTCAGTTTTCGGTTAATCCTAATAAATAAATATTTTTTAAAAAAAATTCCGAACTTTTAACTGAAAAAAAAAAAATTGATGTTTTATCCGAACAAAAAACAATTGATTTTTTATCACCTTGTTTAATCTTCTCAATAAATTCTAAATTTTTCTCAAAGGAAGATCACTGACTCGAACCCTGAAATAGAGTACGATGAAGTCAATCTTGAGTGCAAATTAATGTTTGAAGCATTTTAGGGGTCATTGAACCTTGAAAATCATCAATCATTGAAGCAAATTTATACTTTTATAACTTATATGGATAAATAAAAGACATGTATATATATGTGTATATATTGGTTTTTGGTTCGGTTCGGTTAATCGATCACAAATAGCTAAACTGAACCAAAAACTGAAATTTATGGAAAATATAAATTGAAAACCGAATCAAATGTTCGGTTTCCTGTGTCCTGTGCATCTAACAGGTACGTACTAGTTATAGAATATAATAGGGGAAATTGCATCCCATACTAATATACTTAATTTATATAACACTTTTGGACTCATTATATTTTTATTTTTAAAATTACCTAAACAAACTAAAAAAATTTCAATTATACCTAATGCACTCTATTATCCGTTATTAACTCTTTTAAATGCTAATTAGATACTCAAGATTCACTTACCTAAAAAAGTGGAACAAAATAATTCAAAACATCCTGCCAACATCACCACGTCCCGTATCAATCTGCAAAACCTCTCCAGAATTTCTCCCCAATTCAAGCTTCAATGGCCAAAACTAAAATCCCTCATCCTCATCGAGACAATCCAACAACCAGGCCGATCCGAATCTGAGAAGCTAGGTCGGATCGCCGAATGGACCCAGAACCTCAACAACCAGGCCCGATGTCTGCCCGTCGCACACCTTCAGTCGTCGAGAAATCGCCGCCATCGCGTGCCTCAGTTCGGCGTGCAGCCGCCGGCGACTGCCCATCAACCGCCTACAGCCATGGCCGTCGACGGGTCTCCATATTCACCGAGAGATCTCCTTCGTGACCGGAAAAACATCAAAGATGAACCACGTTCGACCAACGAGAGCAGACCCGGCCCGACGACCAGATTACCGTGTATTGAACTGTTGATTTTAATTTTCAGCCGACTTTTGGGGATTATAAAGATCTCTGGTTGTGAATTTTTTTTGCCTTTTTCACTTTGTAAAACCCGTTTATTTTTCAAAAGATTGCGGTATATGTTGTGTATATATGAAGTATATGTTCTCTATAATATAAGAGCTACTTTATATGTATCGTTTTCTACGTTATATATATGGTTTATATTCAGTATATTTTCGGTATATGTATGGTTTATGTTTAGTAAAATCATGGAAAATATATACAATACATA